ACCTTGTGAAAGTCATCAAATTGTACTCCAGCGACAGTTCCACGGACGCGAGAGGCTATGGCCTTGCAAGCGTCACCAACAAAATCAGGAACAGAAAATATCTTCGAAGCATCATCTGCACTTGTCTTGTCAACATCAAAATGCCTTTAAAAATAATATGAAATTATAATAAAATGTAAATTACATATAAAATTAATATTTATGATAATAATACAAGCTTACCAGTTATACGAGAGTTGGAGAGAAAGACGGGCGTGGTCAGCCGTTTCCACAGTGATGATGTCAGTGCAGAAATCGGGCCCAAGGAGGAGACAGAGCGAGCGAATCTGATTGGGTCGTTTTGGTTTTCCTCCCGAAAGAGAGAGTTGGGTAAACTGCTCGTCTGGTCCAAGCATTACCATCTCTGGTCCAAACACAACACGAGCTTTCTTGTCTTTATAATCGTAGATCTGTACGGCAGCGTTGTGAGGGACTCGGAACGTGACGACTTTGTTCTTGTCACGCTTGAGTTGAGCAGATGGACGACCTGGATAATCATATTAATACATTATTAAATAAAAATTAATAATAATAATAATTAAATAGTAGTAATAATAATAATAAGAGCTTGTGTACACTGTAACTATACAGAAATGATTCATAGAGGAGTATGGAGTCAGAAATTAATATAAATAAATAATAATAAAAGAAATACTGTACGGTTGGTAAATTTCGTGGGGTATTAATTTTCGTTAATTTCGTGGCTTATTTTTATCCACAAAATTTTAACCCCTACCCACCCACACATAAAAGCTAATTAACGGGCCATGCAGAGCTCTAACTACTATTTTTCAAGCCAGTAGAGGAGCCAGAGTTCTTGTCTATTAGTCCATATTCCACCATAAGCCATGTGTTGGAAGCTAGTCCAGTAGATCCAAGTGAAAAGAAGTTTGCTAACTACCACCCACAAATATTTGTACCCACGAATATTAGCTTCTAAGGACATTTTAGAGAAAACACGAAATTTTGGACCCTCGAATATTACCAACCGTACGGTACATGTATATCTAACCCATAATTAATGATGTAACTTAAAATTTCTATGTCCCCATTCTTCCTCTTACCTCTATCAGACCGATCAGCTAGTGGGTCCTTCCCTTCTGACAGTAGCTCCTCCACTCCAGGTGGCAGTTCCTTGGCCCAAAGTTCTTCGTCTTGAGTCAACATGTAAGTAGCGCCACAGATGGCACGGACACGCCCAGTTTTGATATCCCTCACGTAGATACCCTCATTCTCGTCAAGAGGTATCGCCACTCTCTTTGTAACGACCTCAACTTCAACTGGTGGGACGTACTCAAGTGGTCCACGGATCATCCACCGGTCACCTGGTCGCCTATCAACACCCTATGGTACAGGAATGGAAATATGAGCATAGAAGTGTGATATGAAAGCATGTGAGTATGAGTATAGGAGCATGGGCATAAAATTATGGGTATGAAATTACATGGTCATCATCAGTATAAGCTTCGTTGGCTTTTAGAATTAGCCCTTCGTCTTCTCCAAGGACAAAAACATTTTGTGTTCCTTTTTCAAATCTCTCTCCCGGCCTGAGGAAGAACGACCTTTCTCCTTTGATGAGTTTCTTCTGTCCCAATTGAGGCTTTCCGTCATCTCCTACAGGATCCAGGATCACACAGTACTGGCGATTGTTAAGAGTAGTTATATTGACTATGCCAACGACCTACAATAATTACAATAATGATAACAATAATAATAATGATGCTAAATAAAAGTAATAATAATACTGTCATAATACTACACATGTACATGCAGAGCCTGAAATTACAGTTGGACATCAGACATTTTCCGACCATTTTGCTTAATTGTTCAACCAACTGCCGTGTTGCTCTACCATCTTCTCTGAACATTAGTAAACAACACAAAATTTTTATTAGTAATATTACTAAATTAATGGTTATGCTTTTGTAAGTTTCTTTATAATTATTATTACAAAAAATTTTTGAATTAAACTCCCTAACAAGCACACACATTGACACATACATGTAAGTGACCCCTAATATGTATAAAAAGGATAAATGAACATGTTCGACCATTTCATTCAAATGTCAGACCAAAATAGGCTGTGTTCAGACATAATGTCAGAACACTGTTTGAATGTAATTTCAGACTCTGTACATGTACTACACACACGTATGTACATGTACATTTTATTTCTTTGATTACACATATACTCATAGTCTCATACTGTACCTCTTCATAGACATCAGGTATGTGAGCTTCAGTATCCTCCATCTTTATCAGCCACTCCTCTCCGTTCTTTCTTGTAGTTCCTGTCTTATCATTGAAAGTCCTAGTGGCTCTCATGTGGAGAGCAACCTACAATAACCAGATTAACAGGTTCAAGGAACTGGTATCTTGATTATACATGTACATTACCTTCTCTGTTAATACGTAAGCATCAACCACATCAACGACCTCCTCGTAGGCCCCAGGAAGATACGCACCAACCTTCTTAACTAGCCATTCTTCACCTGTGACTCGATCATTGCCATCACGATCCTAAAAAATGTAAATTAAACTATAATAATGATTATACATAAATCTGGTTTGAGTGATGGTAGTTTACACAAAGCAAAAAGTCATACTTAATTTAGAACAATTCAGTTTCAATATTGAAACAAATAAGAATATGAAAATTCCAAGATATAAATTTTCCATTATATTGCCCTATGCTATTGCTAATCACTTGTCCCTTATTTCTGATCTTCTCCCCTACCCCTCTACTACTACATGCACCCACCATCTCTCCCTCCCTCCCTCCCTCCCTCCCCCCCTCCATCACAATCCTAAAGAATAAACAATACTGTTAAATCTGGTTCGAGTGATGATAGTTTACACAAAGCAAAAAGTCATACTTAATTTAGAATACGTCACTTTCAAAATTGAAACAAAACAGGAAGAATATGAAAATCCCTATACATAAATTTCCCATTATATTGCCAATGCTGATCACTTGTCCTCATTTCTGATTTTCTCCTCTACCCTTCTACTATGTACCATTTTCCCTCCCCCTTCTCTCCTCTCCCTCTCCCTCTCTTTCTCTCCTCTCCCTCTCTTTCTCTCCTCTTACTCTCTTTCTCTCTCTCTCTCCCCCCTCCCTCTCTCTCTCTTCTCCTCTTACAGTGGTCTCTTTCCTAGCTCTTAGTTTAATTGCTTGATTAGGACGAATGACAGTAGCTCTGATTGTCTCCTCAACTGCCACTTCCTTGCACGGTATGAATGTTCCTATAAAATAATAAAAATTATGTAAAATGTGGATGTAGTTAATCAATTAAAGGGGTGTGGTTAGTGTATATAATGAATATGATTAATGTTTTCAGGGCCAACACTCTCAGGTGACAGTGTTCATAGATACTATTGACAAGGATAATTAATACATTCCATTACTACAATTGACAATGAAACCACTTACTGTATTACACGAGAGAGAGAGAGAGAGAGAGAGAGAGAGAGAGAGAGAGAGAGAGAGAGAGAGAGAGAGAGAGAGGAGTCAAAAAACAAATTAGAACACATAACATAATTAAAATAATAAGATTATATAGTAATTCTATTATTATTTTTATTACCAATAGTAATTATTTTTAATAGCAATGCAACACGTAATTTGGCACATTTATATCTATACTAAAACTCCTTTTAAATGCAAATATTTTTAATCAGTATATGAACATCAGCCAACCAATTAAAGAAGGAATTACCAGGTCCTTCAAAGAGCCACTCATCACCAGCGACTCTCTTGGTTCCATCTTGATCCTCAAAATCGAGAATAGCCCTCAGTCTCAGGGCGGAATTAGCAGGAACAACTTTCAGCTGCTGAACAGACTACAAGATAAACATAAATAATACTACACTGTCATGCTGTGTGTTAATGGACTTAATTATAAGAATAACATTAAAGTTAAGAATTCTCATTCTTTAATAATAATAATAATAATGATGATAATTGCAAACTGGTTTGCCGAACCTGTTTTAAGTTCTCTCCAGGGAAGAGTGGGAAAGGATCTTGAGCTAGTCGTATCTCCTGGTCAGCATGACGTAGCTTGACCTGCCCGTTAGAATCCAGTATCGGCTTAGAGTCCCCGTCCCGTACCACAGGGTTCTCAATCACGCAATAGTGGCGAGGAGGAACGACAATCATCTTCTCCGGACCAAGTATAACCTTCTCATTGTCCTGCCTTATAAAAGTCTGGGGCCCCACTTCAACCTAGTTAGTGGATAAACCAGCAGGGAATGAGGGACTACCTTATTTTACCTTTGTCACGTTAGTGTTTTGGTCCAGTACGTGAAGGTAGTAATATGGCGGAATCCGATAGATGCTCTTCGCTTCGGCGTCTTTCTTTCCAAGTTTGTCCATACTGAGCCTGCAGGGAGTAACAATAAACGTGCACGTACTACTCGACACGCTCTAGTAAATACTTACAAGTGGAGGAAAGGAGATAAAGAGAGGAGAAAGGATGATTAAGGCAACCCTGATCAGATCTGGAAGATACGCCCAAGGAAACAGCAAGGTAGTTATAAATTAATTTTATAACTAAAAGCACGTGATGCATAGAGCTTTAGCTAATCACGTGATCTAGCCTAGATAAAATTTAATAGACTAACCGTTAATAATAGCAATTAAGATGGCTACAGTTGCAGAGAAAAATGTCCTCATTGCTGTAATAGATGTTTCTCAGTTTTATGAGCTTAGCATGTCATCAGAAGTCCAATCACAAGTAGTAAGTTCATGCAAGAGGAAGAGGTAGTTTTATTACTGTTTCTATTCTATTCTTAGCTATCATTCCAGCATTGTATTGATCAAATCACTGTCTTCATTAATTCTTATCTCCTCTCAAGCCATTGTAACTCAGTAGCAGTCATACTCTGTCATCAATTAGGAAGGTAAAAATTTTAAAAATTATGTAAACTATTTAGAATACTGAAACAAAAAAATAGTATTTTAGTTCTTATAAAAAGCAATACCATTATGTTATATATCGAAACCCTCCAGTCATCAAAAATATATCAATTTTCCAAAATTTTATTTCTCCAAAATTACCAGCTATACGGTACAGAAAATAGAAAGTTTGAGCTCATTCCAATGACAATGCTTGAAGATATGTGCATTCAAAAAATGTTTTTTTTTTATTTTTAGTACTTTAGTGTATCCAGTCCCAAATCAAGCAGAACTTGATGAAGCTCACCCAGAACTCAACAAAGGGAAATATGAGCCAATTGGGCTCATGAATGGACTACTAAGAGAAAGAATTAACCAATTCATGCTTTCCATATCTGGTAATTCACAAAATATATTCTTAATAATTATGCATTATTTTTACTAATCAAAATAATACAAGTATAGCTGCAGATGCCTGAATTTCTTTTTTATATAGAGAACATTCCAGCTCTAGTGTCTTCATCAACATTATTGTCTGGAGCTTTGAGCATGTCATTATGCTGTATCCTCTTCAATTTTATTTTTGTTATAATTTTTGTGCTGTTATTATTCTTAGCCAGTAACTAGATGCACAGAGATGTAGTCGTGAGGCTACAGCAGGAGAAACCATCAAACCAAGACTATTAGTAAATGCATACAGGCACACAAGCACTTATGCTCCTATGCTGTTTCGTAATAGTAATGTGTACTTGTGATTGAGTCATCAAAATTAGATTTTAGAAGTTGCTATAAAATTTTAGGGACTATAGTACCATCTATTTTGCAATAGGAGCCACTTTTATCACATTTTCAATGCATATACATGTACATGTGCTCTGAAGAAATTTTAAATCAAAATTAGTTTTTTATGAATAATTTTTAAAGTTGCTCAAAAATTGGGTGAAAGTCCCTGTACTATAGTACAGGGATTTTTGTCAAATTTCGTCAAAAATGAAAAGGATAGAATTTTTCAATTTTATAATTTTTTCTGATACACATACATGTACTTATGTTGTGTAAAAAGTTTGACTTGATTCCAATCAAGTTTAGATTTTTTACAAATTTTTAAAGCTGTTCCAAAATTGGGCCAAAGTCCCTGTACTATAGTACAGGGATTTTCGTCAAATTTCGTCAAAAATGAAAAGGATAAAATTTTTCTTTTTTAAATTTTTTTCTGATACACATACATGTACTTATGTTGTGTAAAAAGTTTGACTTGATTCCAATCAAGTTCAGATTTTTTATGAATTTTTAAAGTTGCAAATTTCCAGTTATAAGTAACGTACTGGTAATAGTATAACATCACAGTGAATGCATTACTCTTCAGTATGATATCATGACTCTCATTGCTTTGCTATAGGTAATACGAGCAAGTACTGATGCAGCCTCTCAGCACATAGCAACTATGAACTGCATATTTGCTGCACAGAAACAAGTGAGGCAAAAAAGGTATAATTCTTAATTTCTTGTCATTAAAATTTGTACTATAGAATATTCCAATTGATTGCTGTGCACTATGGGAAGACTCGAGTTTCATGCAACAAGCTACTGATATCACTGGTGGCATTTATATTAAGATCCCAGAGCCAGCTGGGCTCCTTCAGTTTTTGCTGGTACATGTTATTTTCAATGATAGTTCATTGTCATTATTATTTGCAGTGGGTCTTTCTGCCTGATATCAAATCCAGATCTAGTCTACAGCTACCTCAGTCATCTGTAGTTGACTACAGAGCTTCTTGTTTTTGTGATCAAAAACTAGTCGATACAGGATTTGTTTGCTCTGTTTGCTTAGCCAGTAAGGAGATCACTTTAAGTTGAAACTTTTATTATTGTTGTTTCTTGTTTTAGTATTTTGTAAATTCACTCCTATCTGCCCTGTATGTCAGTAAGTGTCTAACTGATAGTTAATGAAGATTGCTCTCTTCACTCTCTTGTAGAGCACACTTTAAATTGCCCTCTCTACCTCAGCTCAAATCCAAAAAGAAAGGGAAATCAAGCAGCAAGAGCAAAGCTAAACAATAGGATGAGAGCCCACGTTATTGCACGTGGGTAGACTCCACCCACCGGTTTTATTAATTTTAATGTTGGGAGTGGCTGTGTTATTATGTCGAGATTTAGAGCTGTTCTTGTCATAAGTGTTGGGGTTCTTGGAGGCGGTGTGCTTGGATTCTGGTACAGGGAAACTTACTGGGTCGAGAAGAAAGAGAGAGAGAAAATAAAGATGGAGGAAGAACTGAAGTCACTCATAGAGCTGAGGAGAAGAAAAGAAGCTCTCCTCATCAATTTAAAACAAGAAACCACCAAATAGCATGATTTATAATTTAATATACAATAATATAATATAAGCAATAGTAATATGGCAAAATGACAATAATAATAATAACGAACAAATACAGAAACGATTAAATCAACAATTTCAGTTTAAATCAAGTTTGTATCAACGTTAGCATCAAAATCATTGAGTAGCTGATCAATTTCTGAATCAGAGAGAAAATCAACCGAGGATCCTAAACTATCAGGTGGAGTTAAAGGCTGACAATCATTATTAGCAGACGTGAGAGTGTTTTGAAGTTGAGGGAGGAAAAGGGAGCTTAGTTCATCGGTGGGTTCCAGCCAGTTTGTTGTGGGCCCCACCATCTTTGGGCTGGAGGCATCGGCAGGAAAAATCTCTCCATTGATGCAATATGAGTCATCGAAGGAGAGAGATTTGCATGATGAGCAGTTTGAGTCAATTTCTGAAACCAACATAGATAGTAAATCAGACTAGAAATATAGAGAAAATAAAATGCATAAAATAATGGAACGGTCTTGTACGACGGCTTACTTGATTATCATCAAGAAATGATAGAGGAGGGAAGGATTCAGAGAGGATGGTATGGGTTTCTGCGGCAGAGAAACTAAGGGTACTGCAGACCCGCCACACACCATGATCTCTCCGTCTCCTTCTTCCTTATCACTCAATCTCTTCTCCAGCTCATCCTTCTGGGCCGATAGAGTCACTGTCTCGCTCTTCAAAGACGCATTCTCCTCTTTTAGTTTTTTGTTCTGTTTTAAAATAAAATCAATTTTTATGATTTTAATACATGTCGTTACGTACCTCTTCTTCCAGCAATGCTAGTTTCTTTTCAAGACTTTCCAAATAGTTCTTCTTTCTGTCCCTTGCATTTTGAGCAGCAATCCTATTCATCATTTTCCTACAAGGCAGATAATAATAATAGCATTGTTTTGTATAATGGAATCTTTTACTTTTTCTCTCTCTTGTCAGACTCATCATTCAAGTCAGAAGGAAGTTTTCTTTTCCTTGGGTTCTCCATTAAAGCAGGTGGAGAGGGACTGCTCTCGCTCTCACTGCTGCTGCTGGTCTCTCCTTCTTTGTGTGGCTGGAGTGGTTTGGCTGGTTTCTTTAAAGACTTATTGATGAGTTGAAGTCCAAGGAGTAGCTGGAGCTGCATCTCCTTGGAACCAGGCGAACCGCCAGATAAAGATACAGCTTTAGGCAGTAGAGCCTCCATCACAGGCTACTCTGAGTTACTGTAGAAGAGTTCTCGTCTGTTCCTTTTATAACATATTTGTGACCAAGTTGTTGTTGTTACAGTGAAAATGATGAAATTGCATTTGCAGCAAATTAATAAAGCACAACGGTCATTGTCTGAGCTGGAGCAATCTGATTGGTCAATTACTGCAAGAGATGATGTCATTTAATGTCATCAATGATTTTAAATTTTGAATGCTAAAAATAAAAATTATTAACCGGGAAAATGGCGGACCTTCCAGAGGACAAGTTTTTGTACGAGTCCATTGATGGTAGCATGAAGGAATCCTTTGGAAAAGCTGTCATAAATGCTGCAATGAGTTTAGAACAAACTAATCCACAGCCTCAGACCCACTCTTTCCTCGAGTATCCTTCCCTGAGACTCTCTGCTTTTGAGGAGGGAACAAAGTCACCTTTAAGCGGGCTAATCTCCTCTACCTCCTCCCCCAGTAAGAAGATAGTTATTGGCTCTGGATTCGTTGATCCTTCTCCATTGTCTGAACAATCAACAGAATCTCCTGTAAGCGTACTAAGCACATCAGCATCAACGACCATTTCTCCTCTGCCATATTTTACTACGAGCACTAATCTCAAAATATTTCTCACTTCATCTTCAGTCCTAAAATCTGACGCCGTTTCAAAAGAAGAGACGGTTGCTATGGATACGGATAACGTCAAGCCACTCCCACTCAACTTAGCTCGTTACCTTTCCTCTTGTTACGTCATGTACTGTCGCCGTGATGACGGTAACCGTGAGCAACTACCCGAGTTATGGCTCTTGTGTCAAGACGACGATTCCAGTAGCAGTACAGTTGCTATTGGTTGTGTACCGTTAGAAAAAGAGATTATGTTGTATCAGGTTAGAGAGGGGAACAAACCGTTAATGATCAGTAATTATAAAACCTTTTCGTTAAAACCGGACACTTTTCTACCTCGTGCTTTATCTCTAAAGAAAAAACCGGCAAAAAGAGATGGCCCATTTCTCTCTCACTCCATTTATCACTTTGGGTTTGATGTTGATGAGGATAATGAATCCGAGCCCACTACCAGTCATATATCTCTCGAGTTTAAATGGGAAGCGTCAAAGTCCAACTTTACTCCTCCTCCTACGTCTTCTTCCGCAACTTTAAATATCTCGTCCACTCCTGGTTCTCTCTACTCTCCAATCCTTCACGTCTTCAAAGAGTTGCAGCTGTTGATTTATTTGACTGAAATTTATTCGGGTAAGAGGGAGTGGACCGACATGGAAACGGATACAGAGAGCATCATGTCCCCGTCCAAGTCTTCTCTCTCATCAATGGCCTCTACCTTCCTCTCTGAACTATCCAGTGGTGTAAAAGCTGCTGATTCAACTCTTGTTTCACCGTCCGCTCTAGTCTCTTTGTTTCAAGCAAGAGACGATTTTGATTTTGTTGATCAGTTGTGGTCATTCCTAAAGGGTGTGTCTGATCCAATTGACCTTACTAACGCTCTCAGTGTTGTATTCATGTCCATCCTTAAAGGCAAGACTCAGCCTTTCCTACAACCGGATAAGACCAGTACACTAGCTAGCCTCTTTCGTTTATCTCTTCTTGCCGACACGACGGAAAAACGTGAGGTATCTGCTGCTAAATTGCAGGCTTTGCTGACTCAAGAGAAATCTCTTAAAGCTCTAATTGAGATAGGAATAGAGAAAATGGAGAAGGACTACTTGTGGTACTTCTTATCGAATAATTTTGCTAGTAAGAATGAGATCCTACAGTTCTTTCTTCCCGATACAGCTACACTCTTGGATCGTGTACACATGCTCTCTTCATTGCATTGCGTGCTGGAGCTGACGGCGGATATGAGCAATTTCTTTGCCCTCCCTAGGAACAGGGTCACTTCATTTGTGAGGTCAGTTATAAGTTATTATCGTGACGTCCCTGTAACACACTTTACCACAACTCCAACTTTCTCTGTCACTTTCCCACCTCTCTCTCCCGAAGTGAAAACTTTTACTGGTTTGGCGTCTTCTATCCCTCCCTCTCGTCTCTCTCTGGAGGCTTCTTCCAGATCAATTGTAGCAATTTCTGAGCCTTTATTGAAGTTTATGTACAAGTCACAGAGTTTGGAGGAAGATTTTGAAGGGAACATCACTGCTATGTATGTGTATTGTGCTGACAAGGAACTGCTGTCCTTGTAGTATAAGTAAATTTGATGAATAGTATGTACTATGTAGTTAAAATTATAGATCATGAAATTTTTAGAAATTTTAGCAAATCTATTATAAATTAGTGGGTGTGGCTTATAGTTGATGGGTGTGGTCTTCAGTATGGAGGAGGGGCTTGAGGCAGCATAATAAAAGTCGAGGTAAAAGTACTCTTGGCTGTGATAAAACTGATAATGTCAAGCAAATTAGTGAAAACACCTCTTGGACTGTACAAGCATTTACTAAGACAGTTAGCATTACTTCCAGAGCCCATGAGACCGCACTACAAGCACAGAATAAGACAAGTACCACATTATATGAATAAAGAATAGAAATGACCATTGCTTCTTGCAGGAGTATCATAGCTATAGTGATGAAACTGACACTGATAGAGTTGAGGAAATCATACAGCAAACTATTAAAGACGCAGAATGGGTTGTAAATAAAGTACGTCTTATGAATAATTATTTTTTAAATTTCTTTTTATTTTATAGTACAAGACGTCATCATAGTAAAATAAAAGAAATTGTTTAATGTGATCATGACAGACCTTGTCAATTATTATTTATTTAATGTGTTAAAAAATGTTACAAATATGACGCAGCTTAGATATCTGATTCTACATAGCATAAGGAGTGGACATCAATAGTAATAAAAATTGGCGTGACTTTGGAGCCAAATTTTGGACAAACCATTTCAAAATGGAAAACCATGGAAAGAACCAGTTTTATCAAAATTTGCTAATTTCTAAAATCACCATTGCTCAAAAAGTTTTAGTTGGAATCTCAGGTGTAAGAAAGAGGGAGATTTTGAAAAAAGAGAAAATTTACATGATGAACATGCATTTAGTATACACATCAGTATATACATGCATACTGTGACTAAAGAACTGGGTAAGATGATCTTACCCAGTTCTTTAGTCACTGCTATAACTCCGAGCTGAT